CCTAATTTTGAACTGATAGACACCAGGGAAGGCTGCTAGGTAACAACACCCACCATCAGCTCTTGGGTTACCCTTGTCTGACCATAAAGTAGGAATTGACTCTTTGTATTATTATAACAAAACCTAAAGTCACACAACAACGAATAGAAAAACGTCTGTATTGAAAGTTTAATTATAGAAATTATAAAGATGTCGAAAATACCGGTGAACAATAATTAGAAACTGGCGTAGAAATCAACTGAAAGTGGCGTTTTATTTTGTGTAATTGTTAAAGTTAATTTTCTTCAAAATGAATTATCGTCTATCATCTCTCTCTCTGTGAAGTATGTTTTATGCTTGTTATTAATTCGAAAGCTGGAGTGTTCGGAACGAGTAAATATGTTTTGATTAAAGTTTGTGAATTTCCGTGTTTGCCAGACAAGAAAAAAAAAAAAAAAAGAACTTAACATCCAGTACGGAGTAGTTCGATAGACTATACTACAGTTCTGACAAAGTACTCTGCCATATTTGTTTCTTGTTTCTCGTGTTTTGAAATGAATAACGTACAGAGTGGTGTAGAACATCAGGTGTTGGCTACAGAAACTAACATCGATACTTGGTCTGATTTCCAGACAACTTTTTAAAATTGCTCTTTGGCTTTAAATTATATTTTTATAATAACAATGATAACAGAAATTGTTACTTCTAAGGCAGCTAGTTTACCCTATCATTTGACGTGCTTTATAGGGTACTGCCCTATAAATCACGTGCCAAATATTATGCTAATAAAATTTAGAAGTATTCAGGATATATTTAAGAAAGAAAAAGATTGGTAAGTCACATAAAAACAAAACAAAAAACGAATGATTAAACCTTAGCATTTTCGACGGATGTGAAAAGTTATTGTATTAGTTATGGAAAATTTTCGTATAAACTGATACAGACACGCAAGAAACCATGTAAGGCATGAGAAACTAGCAAACCTTATATGACTGAAGGAAACACTAAATGAACGTGAATAATTATGGGATGGAAATAAAACATGCAAAAAGAAGTATAAGAGGATAGAAATGAAGAAACACAAACTATCGTCATAGCTTAGTCGAGTGAATGACGTAAACTTATATAGGGTACACAGGCATCCATTTCGAGCACTAGTCACGTGACCATATTTTGCTCTTGATGTAGGTTGCAGCTAAATGTGGACACAGTTAAAGAGGGCTTAAGAGAGAGAGAGAGAGTAAGAACTTTCGGTACCTTTATCTTGTGCTGAAACTCGGAGAGACAGCGCCTAGCAACTAAAGCTCAGAGATTCCAAAGGACTCTTGTATTGTTTTTGTTTTACAAACAGAATCAGGTAAGTGTTATAAGATGCTGGGTTTATAAATATTACACGTACCGTAAACTTTACTGCAAGACTGTGACTAAAATTTAGGTTATATATCTTAAAATAAATTACTTATTGAGACCAAGTACTACATACCGATCTTCTTTCAATTTCATAATTTTCTTATCTTTACTGCTTTCATTATGGAAACCGGTACAGAAGAAAAATCATAAAGTAATTACACACTACATTGCGTTAGGGCTAGAGTACAATGGAGTAGAAAGAAAGTACTCGTGGTGTTTTAATAATTCAGACTCTGATTGCTGAATAATATTTTCATGGGCTGTCCTACTGTTGTTTGTGTAAAAGTGTTTTAAAAAATGATCAGTTAATACGCATGACTATGAAATCGCTGTGACAGTTTTCATTTCAAAAAAGAATGAGTACCGATTCACTCTGTGCAGAAAAGCAAGTGTTATTATTTTATAGTCTTTTGTAGTTTTATTTATTTTTGCGAGATTTGTATACATTTTAAAGAGTTTAAAACACACATACACACACACAAAATCACGCAGCTTTATCATTAGTTAATTAACTTGAGACGTACGTAATGTAGACGCACCATTTAGGGTTAGCGTTTTGTTTTTGTAAAAACGAAATATCTTGTATAAATATTTTCCTAAATAAAAAAATTCGAGAGTTTACAAAAGGAGCGACACACCCAAAAAGTGAGTTTAGTCAAAATTGTTAAAGTTAAAACAGTTTATACATCCAAGATATATTCAATTATTATTATGTTCTTATTACATTATAAGGTGATATATTTACAACAATAATTTCTTTTGATAGGTTAGGATTATGTTTGAGAACTTATAACGTTAAATAAATCCGGGGCTTGATTCCCCGCGGTGGACTGAGCGCAGATAGACCAATTTGTAGGTTTTAGCTGCAAAACAAGCAAACAAAGCAATTATAATTAATGTAATAATTTTTCTATAGTGATTTATGTAAAGTTTCTTTTGAGGTGCTTTATTACTTTTTGTTTTACAAATGTTTAACATATAAATCCACTTTATAATATTTTAATTTATTGTATGATAGTTCACCAATATCGGGCTTGGTATTACTTGGTGGCTAGGGTGCTTTACCCACAACTTATGGGTCGCGATATCGAAACCCGGCACCGAAGGTGCTCGCCCTTTCAGCTGGGGGTGGCGTTTCAATATGATGGTAAATCCCATTATTCATTGGTGAAAGAGTAATTAGCGGTAGGTACTGCTGGTCGGCTGTCTTCCCTCTGGCTGGTAGTTCAAACTTATTAGAGACGATTAAAAGACTTCGGATTTATTTACTCGTCCTCAAATATAATATATTTTATTTGGCGCTATCCGAGTTAAAATAAAGGTGGCTACTAGTGCTGCACTCTCTTCGATGGTCGGGGATGGGGTCGCTGAACTCAGACCCCCGGTTTAATTCAAAGGTTTAAAACACCGTCGAATTGGATAAAATGTATCGTTTCTGTTATTCTGTTATTGTAGTATGCTTTATCATCCATAAAACATTACTAGTAAACTTGCTGTTTTCTTTCTTGCGGCCCTCCAGTAGCACAGCGGATTGTCTGCGGACTTACACTGCTAGAAACCGGGTTTCGATACCCGTGGTGGGCGGAGCACAGATAGCCCATTGTGTAGTTTTGTGCTCAACTACAAACAAAAACACCTTTCTTGGGAAGCCTAAATTTTTCGGGTCATCTCTCACAAGCTCAACCATCTCTGTGGTTACAGGTCTTATTTGTTGATTTTATGTCATGTTTTTTTTATTCAGTCGTCGTGAAAGAAAACAATAAATAAAATGTCCTTTTTTACTGTAATATTTTAACGGGTTGCACTAAGAGCAGTAACGTAAATAAATTCAACTGGCGCATATGTACTTGTTATATGCTCTGTTTGTGTAAAAAAATATATACAGCAAATATAATGACACCGTACGGATTTTTTTCTTCAGTTGCTGGTGTTAGAAGTATGTATGAGAGAGGAGTTGTTTGCTTGTTCCATTAATATTTCTAGAAACGTATCACTGATATCTTGATAAATTTAACGTTTGTGCTTGGGAATGATAGGAATAAGATACAGAAAAAATTCGCACTTGGGTAGCATTACATAATTGCCTAAGTATAAAAAAAAAGAAAAAAAAAGAGAGAGAGAGAGAGAGAGAGACGTTAAATTATTTTTTTTTCTCACAAGTATGTCATCGCTCCTCGGAGTTTAAACTGAAGCTCCATCTAAGTAACAAACTTCGGGGTGACTAACATATTGTAAATTATAAAGAGGAAATCTGTCGTTTATTAATCTAATGTTTTCTTAGTCATCAATTCACTATTAAGTACAAATTTTACTCCACTTGGCATCGATTCCAATTTATAAACATTTCATAATCGAATAAGATCGAATGAATAAAGCAGCCTGTAAATTTGTTTGTAGTTAAGCACAAAGCTACACAAAGGGCTATCTGTGCTTTGCCTACCACGGGTATCGAAATCCGGTTTCTAGCATTGTAAGTCCGCAGACATATCGCTGTGCTACTGGGAGGCAGCATGTAAAGAAATATCCTGTTCGATACTTCGCAGTGCAAACAAAACTAAACAAATGGCCCCCCAGTGACACAGCGGTATGTCTGCGGACTTACAACGCTAGAAACCTGGTTTAGATACTCGTGGTGGGCAGAGCACAGATAGCTCATTGTGTAGCTTTGTGCATAATTACAAACAAACTAAACAAATGGTAGCTTTAATTCTCTTGTCAGTTTTTGCATCCTGTGTACTTGACATAAGACGTACGGCAATTTAAAATAAATACTTTTTTAGAAGAGAATATGAAAATCCAGTGATAAATAATATTGAGCTTTCATATTTCTTTAAATTTTTAACGTACATTTAAATAATAAAATGTTTAACTAAACAAACGGCTAACACCAGTACAAAGCCAGTAAAAAAATTGATTGTAAAATTTTAGATACGACCATAAAATGATCACGTGCATTCCAATTTTTCTTTCGCTCTCTCTCTCTCTCTCACACACACACAATACAAATTAGTAATATAGTTAGGACTATAAATATATTAAATATATCTTTATGTAATAAAATAAATACTTACACATTTGTTGTAACAAAAAGCAATATTACCGAAAGTAAGAGAGACATGAAGCTTTAATAGTTTCCTTCTTTACAAACACAATGTTCTGTGTCAATTTATTACTTGTAAGAACGACAGTACACATTCATCAACGAAATGTGAAGTAATTAGAATTTTTTGAAATTATTACGGTTTATTTTTTTTTCAAACTGTTTTACACATAAAGTACTAGTTGTAATGTTGATACCATGGAATAAAAAAGATTTCACTAGATTCTCGAAAGCAAATGTCAGTAATATTTTTTGAAAGTACAAACTACGTTTAGTAGTAAGGTAATATATATTTATATTTTATATGTACTTACAATTATCAGATTCCACTAGATGGGGTAAAAAGCGTTTAGGCGTACTTTCGCAAAGAGAAAACAACCGTAGTATCAATTGAACCTGTCACGTTTGAATCTATAATTACGAAAAGTAATAGGATTATTTCTAAGAAAGTTTTATACCATTATGACGAATGCCAACTTTTCGTTTTATAAGAAAACATTGTGTAGTGAAATTTGTCACCGAATTTTGTAAGCCTTTACTTTAGAGCCTACTTTAAGTTTCAACATGATTTGAGGTTTAGAACTAGAAGAAATGGGTACATACAACAAACTTTCAGCCAAGTTAGCTTGAATTTAAAGTTATTCTCGCCGTGGGGTAAGGCAGTTTTAAACAAATTTGTACCAATATTTCCACTTTGCAAGTCTTTTGGTAAGTATATTTTTGTGAACAAAATGCTGCAGTCCTCATAAATGTGTATCGTTAGTTAATGTCATTGCATTTGTGATCTCGTTCCTTTACAGCAGTGGTTCTCAAATTGTGGTCCTATGACCACTGGTGGTTCGCAAGGGTCCTCCAGATGGTTTGAGGGCTGGTCCAAATTGCAAGCAACATCAAAAGCAGCGCGATTCTTCTTATTAATTGTGATGAAGTTTTTTTTGTTTTGTTTTTTTGCGTGGCAAGCGAAAGCGAGTGGGGGTAGGGCCGGTAGGTGGTTCAGGGGTCTTTTGACCCGCCAAAGTGGCCCGCAGACGAAAGGTTTGAGAACCACTGTTTCACAGTGATACTTCGACCGCTGAGACAAAGTAGGTAAAATATAGTAAGTTATACATTTTGTTAGCAGGTATTCTGTAAGTAATAAGAGTAACAGTTAGAGTCATATGATTACATATAATTTAGAGATAGCGTAGTAAATTGTATCTTGTCTTCATATGCGTTTGTTTAGTTATTTAAACGTACGTAATAAAGGTAAAACAACAACAAAAAACACACAAATCTGTCTGTCATGTGTACTGCTAGGATTAAAGGAGCTTGTCAAAAGGATAACTTCTTTGTATAAGAAGAATTATATAGAATCATTGTTTACCATGTTCTGTGGTTGAACAACGACCTGATAATGGATGGTCGAGAGACATCAGGAATTCCAAGATGATTCTTGCTTGACCACCCGTAACGGATTGGAATGTGCGTATATGACCAAGTAGCAAATGGTCAACTAACACCTAGCGTTCCAGCCTTGGCAAATAGCGTCACGGTCTCCGGCTCTTTACAATTTAGATGTTGTATACGTTTTTCACAAGTAAATTATAGTTGTGGTTTTCGTCATGCGTGCCGGTTTCACCTTTTCTTTCTGGGGAATTTTTAAACTCCATCTCGTCCCGATGTGATGTTGAAATTATTTACCAATTAGTTTTTCTTTACAGAATATCCACGATTTAAAGACTCAGAATCAATCGAATGAGAGGTAGCTATAAATGATTGGACAAGTTTGTGTACCCATCATTTTTCAAGGATGTTTGTAAACTTCTAATCATCCTATTAATTTCGCTCTGTTGTGTGTTCTTCTGTACAAAATATCCATAGTTTATAGACCGATTAGGAGGTAGGTGTTAAGTGATGGACAAAGTTGTATTTAAAAGGTGTTTGTGAACTATGTGTACAATACAGTCGTTTTTTTCTCCGCTTTTAGTTAAATTATCCGTTATTCTGTATTAGTTCTTCATAACATGACATAATATTGGATTCAACTAAAGAGTGTTGTGTTGTATATAGTATTTAATTAGAACGTTGCAGAAAAATTTTGAGAAAAAAAAGTCAGTGGCAAAAATGGAGGATGGTCAATTTTCGTGCACGTGTTACATATGTTGTGTAACACGGGCTGTCAAATGACGTCATATAATCGTATAAACCTTCTCTGTTGGTTTGTAGGCACGATGAAAGCTCGCCAGAAGATCTAGACAGAATGTCTTTGTGTTAATTTAAGATCTATTCTAACGCAAAGAAAACAAACGAAGAAGAAGAACATTACGTTCATTGTAAACTTGAAACGTAGAAGTGAGAAAAGAAAAACACTTTAACTGAAAATTATTGACAATATCAAGCCTGAAGTATACATCATTTGTTCACCATGTACTCTTAAGAAAAAAAAAGGGTTTCGTGTGAAATCGCTATACGTAGTTAGGTTTCTGACTAGTAAAAGAGTTCTGGCACGAAACTTACAACTTTGTCGTTAGTTCCTTCTACGTGGGACTATTAGGCCGATGAAGTCGTAAAATGAGTCGATGAAGAAACATTGAATAGCTATTCACAAAGCAAATAGCAAAATGGCTCGAAATGTGACGCGGTAAGTCTCAAAACTGAGTTTTGATACCATGGTGGGCTGAGCACAGATATCCTATTGTTGTAGCTTTGTGCTAAACAATAAACAATCCAAAGCGAAACAGGAAACTTGTTATGGTTCTGTAAATAATAATGTATTCTCAGACTGTAATTTATCATTACTATCATCAAATATATTTCAAAGCCAATAAAACATTCTCGAGGATTCCTGTAATTTTGAGCTAGGAAGTGACGTGTCAGTTTATTGCAAACACAGAACAGGAAATTATTCAACAGCTGAAGAAACGAATTAATATAATATTAATCTTAAAATAAAGTTCCTTTTTACCTACAAGGTGAAACTTCTACAGGTCTGTCTTCTAATCGCTGGAGACGGCTTGAATGGGTAATGAAGCAAAACTTTAATATAAGTTTAACATAACAGCAAGTGTACAACGTTTCGACAAGGTTTTGTCATCATCAGGTCTGTCTTCTGTGGGTCAAAAATGTTTAAAAGTGATCGATTAAATTTTCATGAATATTGTAGCTCAATAGTGTCAATATGTCTATCTTTGTCTAAGTATGTCTCATATAGCTAAATACTCATGTGCAACTTTTGAAAACGTTTTGTAAAACGCTATTCAAGTCTGTCTCTCTCTGTCCATAACTATATTTTATATAATTACATTGTTATACGTTATCCCCATTGAAAACGTTTTGGAAGGAGCCCTTCAACTGGATCACTTCTAATTTTCTTCCCCTAGCTATATTTTATATAATTACATTGTTATACGTTCTCTGTTGAAAACGTTTTGAAAGGAGTCCCCTCAACTGGATCACTTCTTCTGCTAGCTATTAAATTAAATTGTTATACGTTCTCTGTTGAAAACGTTTTGAAAGGAGTCCTTCAACTGGATCACTTTTAATTTTCATCCCCCAGCTATATTTTATAAAATTACATTGTTATACGTTCTCTATTGAAAACGTTTTAAAAGGATTCATTCAACTGGATCACTTCTAATTTTCATCCCCCAGCTATATTTTATAAAATTACATTGTTATACATCTATTGAAAGCGTTTTGAAAGGAGTTCTTCAACTGGATCACTTCTAATTTTCTCCCTGTATATAATCACGCTGGTTTGAAAACGTTGTGAAAAAAGCCTTTCAGTTGAATCAACTTTCATCTTCTCTCTGTAGTTATATTGTATATAACCATACTGTTATACACGTCCGCATTGGAAAAAAACAACAAAAAATAGTTGATTTTTGTCAAGTTCATTGCAATACTGTGTGTCGCTATATTTAATATTACCAAATTATTACACGCCCAAATCTAATTTGTATGAAACAGCACCGTATAATGAAGTGATTTAGTTCAGTAGAAAATGAGATTGCTCAAGAGAACACAATTTTACGGAAATTATGTGTTCATTTCGACGTCCTAGTTAAAATTAGTAGAGTGCCTGTGTGCAAGATGTTGATATTTTTAGCTTTTGTCCTACTGGCACGAGTTCACAGTTTCTCGAAACTTTTGTAAATCGACATCCTTGCTGCATGCCAAGAAGAACGACATTTTGTCACGTCATGAAGACAGCTTCCAGTATATAACCAGACCAGACAAGTCATTGGCAAGTTTCCAGGTGTTTTTAGCTGCCTGGTTAGATTGGTTTTATTATGAGGGTAGAGCTGTTAATTAAAGCTTTCATTGTCAAGGAATTTGCAAAATATAGAAAGCAGTTTGTAAATATAAACAATATATTTGTTTCAAATGAGACGTGACTGATATCGGATTGAACACATGATACTTTCACAGAAGGCTGGGTTCTTGGCCTTATGAACAAAATGATGTACCACTGTTTTTACTGTCAAAGAAACACGTCTTGTCTTCTATCCCATCCATTTTGCTTAGAAATACAGTAGATTTAAATGGAAATAGCTGTTTTCCGTGTGTTAATTTTTTCGCGAGAAAAATTTTCAAGTTTGAGCATGATCTACGTTAGGTTGAGCAGTTTTAAATAACCACTTTCACCACTGTGTATGCAAATTTCACAGTAGAAAGTAGTTCAGCACGCACTTCTAACGAAAAAGCTTGAAAGAAAAGTGATATTTATTTCCCCTTAACATTTTTATTTGAAAACTGTGACCACCGTAATCATTGTTATTTGTTATGAATATAACACAGTTACCAAATATATCAGTATTTAAAGTTGATTCTCATGCACTTTAATACTTATACTCAGAGACGTGCATATGAAGAGGTATTGAAGGCGATGGGACAGAGTGCTTCCACCTGTAATACAATTGCAGCATCCACTTCAAACCCTTCAATAAATATCGACAGGTTTGAGATTTCAACTTGAACTAAGTTTTTGGTCCGAAATAATGACTCGCTATAAACAGGTAAAGATTCTAGTTCATAATGAAAAATTGAATAGACAAGACAAAGAGATTGTGATAGAAAAAGGCCTTAGTTGAAGATGAAGAATCGAATAGACAAGACAAAGGGATTGTGATAGAAAAAGGCCTGAGTTGAAGATGAAGAATCGAATAGACAAGACAAAGGGATTGTTATAGAAAAAGGCCTTAGTTGAAGAATCGATAGACAAGAAAAGGGGATTGTGATAGAAAAAGGCCTTAGTTGAAGATGGAGAATCGAATAGACAAGACAAAGGGATTGTGATAGAAAAAGGCCTTGTAACTTGGTCATTACACACACTAATTTCATTTGTGTTTTTAGTGACTTGCATCATATTTTAGTCCTTATTGAATAAAAAGTAGGTCCAAACAACGTGCCACTTCTTCATTAACAATTTAATAATCTTAAATTGTTATATGGGTTTATTCATGGTTTAATAAAGGGTGATAAAACACTAGGCATTTACACAGAACAAGAGTTATTGTGTAGACTGATTGAAAAGCTAAGTTCAGAAGTCAAGCACTTTGTAATCGAGACGTCACACTTTTTATAATCTTCGTCCATAACTAAACATTGTAAAATTCGTAAAAAAGAAGGCAAGGATTTTGGTTACAATTATTTCTTTGTTTTGTGAACACTTTCGCCAAATTTATTCAATGGTTGGAGTACATTATGTTTTATGGGAAGATGTTTGG